GAGTTGTGAAACAGCCGTACAACAAAATCAACGAGGCAGATGGGCAACGTGAGAGAGTGTGCTTCAGAGGAGTTTGACGTAGAATGATATGTGGAACATAGCTCCATTAAGACTGGCGTTTATTATAAGAGCCATGTATGATCTGCTACCGTCAGGAGCAAATCTTGCTAGATATAAGGTAGCAGGAGAAGCTAAGTGTAGCTTATGTGGAAAATTGGAAACGATGGCCTACTTAATGGCTTCTTGCAAGTACGCACGCACTCAGTCATGGATGTTATACGTGGAGGCACAACAAAGTATTGAAAACATTAGTGGTACTCGTTTCCAATGTTTGTGACGAGGCAAATTCAAGGCCACCGTATAAACTAAGAAAAATCCATTTCCTAAGAGAGGGTAAGTTGGATCAAACCAAAAAAAATAAAATTGCAACCGGCAGAGATTGGAAGGTCATGGCAGATTTGGAGGGCCTGAGACAGAAGACAGGAGCGAGACAGGAGACAAAGAAGACAGGAGCGAGACTCGACGTGGTGGTACAGTCGGTATCAGCAGGCACTGTTGTTCTGGTCGAATTGACTGTACCGTATGAGGCTAATATAGCAGCAAGCCACGCTATAAAAAAAGCCAAGTATTGGTTAATGAGATAAGACAACGTAAGATTATGTTTTGAAAAGTTTGTTCGATTCTTTAAATTAAACCGCCTTCACAACTTTAACGTTTTAATTAGATTTTAATTGATTATTTTAAAGATAACACCTGTAATTAAATAACTGATGACGAAACCAGGAAGGATTTGGAATGCGAAAAGGAACAAAAGTGGAGGAAAAAATGTTGATGATTCGTGGAGTAAAAAAGTCATTAACTTCATATTCTGGGAATTATTTCTTATCTCGAAACTGGAACAAGCAAAAAAAGAAAAAACAAAAAATTGGTCATATTCGTTTCAGAATTAAAAAATCACCCATAAAATGTTGGATTAGTCGCAGTCTTTTTGGATTTAATTAATTAACTTATTGGGGGAACCTCATTAATTAAATTTTATTTACTTCATTCATTACTTGAACTCATACTTTTGAAAACATCATTTAAAAAATGCTCTGTGACAGCTAAGAAAGAAAATAAAAAACTCAATTCCCAAATGAAAACAATGGTTCTGAATTTTATTTTAATTAATTTTTTAAATATTTAAAAATATAAAAAATCTTCACCAAAAAAATTTGTGAATATTAATAAGCGGCTAAACCAAATATTGAGTTTTGGTCTGTCTGTTGTTTTGTTCAACAGCGTTTGATATTTCACGCCGGATATGTTAACACACGTGTCTTGTGTGCAGAGGAATATATTAAATATCTAGATTGGAAGGGAGGTGTTTGTCTGTGTGTGCGTGCGTGCGTGTGTGCGTATGTTTGTGTGTGCGTGTGTCGAAATAAATTAAATAGGTGGAAAAGTGTTTATCTCTCTCGCTTTCTCCCTCTCTCCTCTCTCTCCTCTCTCTCTCTCTCTCTCTCTCTCTCTTTCTCTCTCTCTCTCTCTCTCTCTGTGAGTATGTGTGTGTGTGTGTTTGTGTGTGTGTGTTGGATTATAAATCTTCTTTAGAAAAAATTAGAAATGAACACACAAGTCTAATTATCATCAATCAATCACGAGTCTTCGCATTAGGCATTTTGCTTCTTAAAAAATGTCTTTATTCCATTAAATTAAATTAAATTAAATTACGTAAATGTTTTTGTCTCCTAGGCATATTTTTCAAACTTGATTAATTTAATAAAAATAGGACAATTTTGATCTAAAAACTTTTGGAAAATGTCATAAAAAGCTGAAACCTTAAAACTTATCACTTCCAAAAACTTACAAGTTATTACGCAAACTCTTGCTCTCATGTCAAAAAATTAACTTTTCCATTCATTAGATGCTATTCCATTTTTTATATATTGCTCTTTCAACGTGTTAGTTTCTAACGAAAACACGAAAAAATGTTCACTTCAGAACAACAACCACATGGCTAAAAACTTTTATAAAACAAATTCACACATAAATAACATGACTTTTTGAAATATTTTCCGGAAAGTTGTTCAAATGTTAACTAACAAGCATGAAAACTTGAAAAACAAAGCACACATGGAGCGCTTTCGACTGCGTAGACTGGGAAGAACCCAAACCGCAAAAAAGATGCAAATTTTTATGTGTCAAATAAATAAAATTGAGCAATTGTCTGTATGGACGGATGGCTTGCTGCTGAGCAGATACCAGTGCCACGCTCCCCCCTCTCTCTCTCTCTCTCTCTCTCTCTCTCTCTCTCTCTCTCTCTCTCTCTCTTTCTTTCTTTCTCTCTCTTTATATATACATATATATGTGTATATATATAAAAGAACATATATATGTATGCATGTATATATATATATATATATACATTCCTTTTTTCTTTCTCTCTCTTCATGTTTTTTTCCGAAATTAAATTAAACGCATATTCAATTGAAAAGTTTCAATAAACGAAAAATTGAATTTGGCATGCAAGTCTAAGCTTTCCTGGAAAATGATTTTCCATTTTTGGCTAATGATGAGTGGCGGAGAATGAAGCAAGGTACCTATTTACGATTTAGCGACTGCCTATATATGAATGAAATTGGTGGTTGAAATTTAAATTCTCAATTCGACAACATTTCGAAGATTTCAGTTTTTAGCATCGTTTCAGGAAGCCATATTGAGTTACTTTTAAATTTAATGAATTACTGAATTAGAGTAGTCTCATGCGTTTTACCAATCTTTATAACATTTTACTGTTTGAAATTTGACAATTATTTCTTGGAAATTTCACTTCAATAATTTAGCTGAAGCCTTATAAAAATGTCTTGAAAATGTTTCAAACCAATGAAGAAATTTTTGTAAAGTAAAAACACTTACCTATTTAGTCCGTCAATTAATTTTTAATTAAATATCAATAAAAAATTTTGAAATTTAATTTTTTATATCTGTTGATATGTTTAATTACTTAATTAAAATTATATAAATTATAGAAAAAATAGTTTATACCTTGTTTATAGTATTATTGGGTGTGACTGTGTGTCTGTATCTCACTCTCTCTTTCTCTCTCTCTCTCTCTCTTTCTTTCTTCTTTCTTTCTCTCTCTCATTCTCTCTCCCGCTCTCTGATTTGTGTATTAAAATAATTTTATTTATTACAGAGATGCGTATAATTATTATCTAAATTACAATCAAATTCTGTTATTGTTAGCAAACATGAAATTCGTCCGTAAATGTTTTCAAGTAGAATCTGCCTATTCGTTTGCTCGTTCGTTCGTTCGTTCGTTCATTCCTTCGTTTGTATATTGTAGCGGTTTATAACTGTTTATGAGATTGTTTGTTCGCTTGGTTGTTTATTTTTAAACTTCTTAACGTCATTTTAGCGTGTTTTGGTTTGGTTTATGCCTAAGTTTAACTTTAAATAGCGTTTATTTTTGAATATTCTGTTTGGTGCCACGTATTTTGACATAACATTATTTCTGTTTTTCAAGTTTTTAGAGATTTATAAGATGAAAAACTTAAGATTACACATCATCATCATTATCTTCATCATTATCATACTCACCATCATCATCATCATCTTCATCATCATCTTCATCTTCATCATCATCTTCATCTTCATCATCATCATACTCATCATCTTCATCACCATCGTACTCATCATCATCATCACCATCATCTTCATCACCATCATCTTCATCACCATCATCTTAAACCTTCGCGACACGAACTTGCGTGTCGTCGCATGGCACAACACCACACACACAATGCCACTTGAATATCAATTAAATTTAATTATGTACATGTATGCGCCACAAAAAATAAAAACGCCGACTCCAAGTATTGAGCAACTTTTCGTTTCAGCTGCAGAGGAAAATTCTATCAAATATTTCAATGTTTGTTTGTGTGTGTGCGTGTGTGGTGTGTGCGTGTGTGTGCGTGGTGTGGTGAGGTTTAGTGGTGATATTTATTGAGATCATTTGATTTATAGTTGGTAGTTTTTACTCGTTTTCACTTTTAACTTTCGCGTCATGAATAATACGAAGAATACTACGTTTATTTTTAATTAATTTTCCGTCTAACACTAATTAATGTAATTATAAATTAAAAAATAATTGTCTGTATCAAAGCAATTAAAAACTTTAAATCGTTAGCATCTGTTTCGATGAATTTAAAATAATGATCTGATATACCAGGCAGAAGTGAGTGGAAGGAACAGAAGTCAAGAAGGCAATTCGATCGGTATGAGGTTTTTTTTGGAGTTCAACATTTTCAGAAAGAGTACGGATTGAAATACGTAGGCGCATTTTTCCAAACTTGAATTAAAACATACAAACAATTATACAAACACACATACAAACACACCTACAAGCAATTATAAAAACACACATACAAACAACAAACATACCGACAACTATACAAACACACGTGCAGACAGACAGAAAGTTTCTTTTTTGTTTCGCCTTTGACATTTTTATGATTTAATTACACGAGAAATTTTTATTGAAGTGAAAAGAGATTGAGTTATTAATTATTTATGAAAATTTTATTTCAACCTGTAGAAGTATAAAATTAAATATTCCGACCAATTACGCATTCGAATATGATTGTGATGACGACGATGACGATGACGATTGTAATAATGATACCACAACAACAACAACAACTACACCAATATCAACATTACAACAAACACACACTACAACGACAACAACAACAGCAAAAACATCACAACAACTGAATGTTTTAAATTATAAATACAACATACCGAGACACACAAACACAGACACACGTACAAACAACAACCACTACAGCACAACAACTCCATCGAATCTAACTCTGCCATTATGGATGATTCTTAATTGTTGGATGTTGTTGTTCGCGGCGTCAACGACAAAACTACTCGTCTTCTTCATAATTTCATCATCCCCCATGCATTTGAACATTCTTCTGTGGCGTAGTTTGTTGGAAGTTGATGACGTCTTAGGTGTTGCGGTAGTTGTTGTGGTTGTTGTAGTTGTTGTAGTTGTGGCTGCTGTAGTTGAAGCAGTTGTAGTTGTGGCTGTTGTAGTTGAAGTAGTTGTGGTTGTCGTCGTTGTAGCTGTTGCGGTTGATGTAGTTGTGGCCGTTGTAGTTGATGTAGTTGTAGTTGTGGCCGTTGTAGTTGTGGCTGTTGTAGTGGTGGCTGTTGTAGTTGAAGTAGTTGTGGTTGTCGTCGTTGTGGCTGTTGTGGTTGATGTAGTTGTGGTTGTTGTAGTTGATGTAGTTTCTGTGATAGGAATGTAAATTCTGATGATTTTAATGTTTTTTTTGTTGTCTTTAATGTCGTTGATGATGCTAACACTGATGTTGGTTGAGTGGTTATAGATGTAGTTGCTGCTTTAGAATTTTCCTTTACAATCATCAGTTTTGAAATGCTGTCATGAGGCTTCTTTTTCGGTGTTGAAATTGTTTTCTCAGAAAACTTAAACCTGTTGGCGTCACTTAAAGCATAGAGTCGGCGGACATTGATGCTATTGAAGCTTTTGATGTTGTTGATCTTGATCTCATTGAAGGTGACGTCATTATTGATGATACCGCTGTGATTGGCTACAATGGCGGTGCTGTGATTGATGTTTGGATTGATTTTATTGACGTGGAGGGAAGTGTTGGCAGGAAAATTGATTGTTGACTTGTTGGTGATTCTGATAAAAGGGTAAGCCCCTTTTGGTTTGAGACTGATTTTGTTGTTGCTGCTGTTTTTGTAGGTCGTTCTCAACAAAATGTTGTTGCTGTTGTTGTAACTTGTTTTGTTGTTTATATTGTCGTTGTTGTTGTCTACATCGTTGTTGTTTATCATCCTGTTGTTTAATTTGTTTATAGTGTTGTTGCTAATTTTGTGATGTACGCTCTCAACAGTTGTACAGTTAATTAGCGCAACGCTATTTTCTGGTACATTTTCATTTATAATTTTGCTGTTCTTAATAATTAACAAGATAAATTCATTAATGTTTTTGTTGTCATTGGTATTATTATTTTTAAAGTTATTTTCGTTAGTTTTATTATTGTTATTATTGTTATTTGCGTTGTTGTTGTTGTTGTTATTGTTGTTGCTAATAAGTTCAGTTATATCCTCATCTAGTAAATTGGTATAACAATGGCAATTAGTCTTTCCATACACCGGCTTGCTATAACTGTAGCAAATGTAGCATTTGCTGATGTTGTCAATATTTTTGTTGCTGTGGCTGTTGCTGTGACTATTGCGGTTGTTGCTGTTGCTGTTGTTGTGGTTGTTGCGATCGATGTTGTTGTTGCTGTTGTTGTTGCGATCGATGTTGTTGTTGCTGTTGTTGTTGTGGTTGTTGATGCTGCTGCAGTTTTGGTTGTTGCTGCTGTGGTTGTTGTGGTTACTGCTGCTGATGATGTCGAGGCAGTGGTGCGTAAATGCCCCCTGACAAATGTCGCAATTGGAAACATGAAAATGAACATTTGGCTCTCCAATGACGTCACGCATAAGAGTCGTGACGTCATCAGCCTTAAAATTATTAATGGGCGCGGCGTGGCAAGGAGAAGGAAGAGGATGGTGATGATAACGATGACAATTGTGATGATGATGATTGCGATGATGATGATGATGATGATGACAGTGTTGATGATGATAGTGATGATACAGAGAGTGCTGATGATGATAGTGATGATGCTGAGAGTGCTGATGATGGTGGTGACGATGTTTAACAGCCGTATAGTACAAGCCAAAAGAAGGATGATGTCTGGGATGATTAAATGTTGGATTACTGCTGCTGCTTCGTATGTTGAAGACGCGTTTTTTGATAAACTTGATTATGCATGTGTTGTTGTTGACGTTTTTGTTGCTGTTGTTGCTGTGGTTTTTCACAATTATATGGGTATTGTTTTTGTTATTGTTGCTGTTGATGTTGCTGCTGATGTTGTTGTGATTAGTTGTAGCATTCACAAAGTTTTTATATGGAGATGTTTTATCATTATTATTATTATTGTTGTTGTTGTTGTTGTTGTTGCTGCTGCTGTTGTTGTTGTTGTTTTTGTTGTTGCTGTTGTTGTCGTCGTCGTGGTTTTTCTTTTCAACGTTTGTATTGTTAATGACGTCGTTGATGTTATTCACGATATTGTTATAGTTGATGTTTCTTGCTGGTTTAGTAGCCGCTCCAGTCATAATGTTTTTGTTGTTGCTGCTGTTATTGTTGATGTCGTTGCTTGAATTATTGTTGTTGTTGTTAATGTTGCTAGTGTTATTGGTATTGTTGTAGTTGCTACTAATAATGTGGGAGACAAAAATTTTGTTCTTTATGTTGTTGTTGTTGTTGTCATTGTTAATGTTATTGTTGTTGTTAAAAAGATCAATAACAATGTTGTTGACGTTGTCGTTGTTAATGTCGCGGTTGTTAATGCTGTTGTTGTTGATGTCATTGCTGATGGCGGTTTTGCGGTTAATGTCGGCTCTATCTCGTCTGCCGAATAAGCCGTCCAGGTAATCTAAATTTTTTTTCTTTCCCGCGTTTTTGCTTTCAATTTTGTTGCTGACAGAGTTGATGTTGTTTAAAATGTCGTTAAATACTTTGGGTTCATTTTTGTTGTTGTTGTGGTGGTTGTTGCTGCTGCTGTTGCTGAAGTTTTTAATATTGTTGGTACTTTCAAAATTTGAAGTAATTATTTTTGGATAAGATGCATAAACGCTTGATTTGGAACCTTTTACGTGGCTGTATTCGATTTTGTTGTTGTTGTCAATGTTTTCAATGGCATTGAGGTCGTTAATGTCGTTGGTTATTTTGATGTTTTTGTTTAAGTTGTTGTTGTTGTTGCTAATGTTGATGTCATTTTTTTCAATTTTGATGTTAGGATCGATGATGTTATTATAGTTGTTGTTGTTGATATAGTTATTACTATTATTATAGTAGTAGTTGTTGTTGTTGACGATGATGTTATTGTTATTGGTGCTGTCGTTGTTAACAGATGTAATGTTCGATTCATTATCAAAACTCCCACCACAACAACAACAACTACATATTACAAGTATCACGAGAGTCCGTAGTTCAATTAATCTAAAGACGGACATTCTCCTTATTATCATTATCATCGTTGTTCTAATCATCTTTGAATATCATCATCGTCGTCGTCATCTTTATTGTTTTATTGTTATCATAATTTCATTGTTATCATTATTTTGTTGTTGTTGTTGATGTTTCGTTGTTGTTGTTGATGCTTCGTTGTTGTTGTTGATGCTTCGTTGTTGTTGTTGATGCTTCGTTGTTGTTGTTGATGCTTCGTTGTTGTTGTTGATGCTTCGTTGTTGTTGTTGATGCTTTGTTGTTGTTGTTGATGCTTCGTTGTTGTTGTTGATGTTTCGTTGTTGTTGTTGATGCTTCGTCGTTGTTAATCGGTGGTTGTTGTTGCTGTTTTTATCAATAATCGTTATTGTTATCACTATTATTTTCGTCATCGAATACAACTACTACTACCACTACCACTACTACTACCACTACTACACTACTAATATTGTAGTGTCTTCGTTAATGAAATGACTTTGTTAGAAAAATAAAATAAAAAAATAAAAAAACACAACAAAGTCTAGAAAGTTCATTTTTGTTCACGATAATTTAAAAGTCGTTAAACTTTCCATTGAAAGAGAGAGAGGAAGGAGAAAGAGAGAGAGAGAGAGAGAGAGAGAGAGAGAGAGAAGTTCTATACACTTTTGTTTACTATAATTATAGTTTTGTTTTCACTATTGGAACCGTTATCTTAGCATTGTTGTTGTTACATTCATTGCTGATGGTATACTATACTCTATAGTTATTTTGATTTATCATTGTCGTTGTTGTTTTTTGATTGATGTTGTAGGTGTTATTGCTGTAAGCTAATTAAAGTTGGAAATGCCGTTACTTTTTAATAATAATATTCAATTAAGAGAGAGTGTGTGTATATATATGTGTGTGTTTGGGTGTGTGTTTGTGTGTGTGTGTGTGTGTGCGCGCGTGCGTGTGTGTGTGTGTGCGCGCGTGCGTGCGGGTGTGTGTGTGTGCGCGTGCGTGTGTGTGTGTGTGAATTTGACATTGAAAAATTGACAGAAATTTTGAATGAGATTTATAACAGGGGCGAAATTCCTGAAAACCAAAGTCAGCGATGAAAGTTGGTAGCAAGATGACTAGTTTTGTCAAAATAATGAAAGGTGTTAGGAAAGGCTGTGTAGTATTCTCTCCAGACCTGTACAATCTCTATAGTGAGATCACCATGAGAAAGATGGAAGATCTACCTGGAATATTTAACGTTAAACAAAAAAATGTTGAGCGATACGGTATGTGGTATTAATTTTTTTTTAATTATTTTGCGTTAAGTGCTTTTTCAAAATATCTCTCCTGTGGTTATATTTTGTGTTTTTTTGTCAAATCTCATCTTTTTAAAGTGTTGGTTGTACGTTTGAAAAATTTTGTATCTTTGTTTGAGGCGTATAAATTTTCTTTTAATTTCTTTTCATTTGTGTAGCTTGTATGGCCATTCATTTACTTAATCGTTTGTTTATGTTTGCTTTTGTTTGTATTTATCATCAAAAGCTACCTTCTGATTCAGATGATTTTGTAAAAGTTAACAACAGATGTAATGTTACCAACGGTACATTAGATGAAACTCTATTGAAAACTATTAGCGTTTAACTAAATTTTGCTATATATTATTATTAATATTATAAATACAAAAATTTTCAAATCATTACTTAAGTGTAAGAAAAAATTGTAGCAGGTTAAACTCACTTGGGTCAGTTATAGATGGGCAAACAAACTCATCAATGCTGTCAATTAATTTCATTAAATTTACATCCAATCTTTACTTACTATAATAATTAACTGTTATTTAACTTGTTGTATTAATAATTAGAATTAATAATAATAATGTACTCATTTCCATAATAACTTATCTGACTTTTTTTAATTTCGCTAAATTATTATAAATATTTTTATTATTAATGTTATTAATGTTGTTGTTTTTGTTGTTGCCGTGGTTTTATAATGCGTAATGTTATTGCTGCAACGAAAATATTGATATCCAAAAAAAATTAAATTTTTCACAACCGAACACAACTGACCAGCCAAGAATGAAACTGCCAACTTTATTTATCAGGCTACTTATGTTATATAGTTTGATTATATAGATATGTATGTATGTATGTGTGTTTTATATATTTATATATGTGTGCATGTGTATATGTATGTATGTATACATGCATGCATGCATGCATGTATGTATGGATATGGATGGATGGATGGCAAGACAAGGTGCCCAACACAAAGGTTCTAAAAAATATGTGATTATATAAGGTATAATTAATCATATAATACTTTGTATAATGAGAATGAGGTGACATACAATAGATGCTGGCTGGTTAGAAAGGGTTAGACAACTAGTAAAGCTCTAGGGAGCAAGGTCTCCTAGTATATAATAGGCGGGTACAGAAGTTAGTTGAGTCGAGAATAAGGTTAGCGTTATCTCTTTAAAACGCTTAAATCTCTTGAACACTCCTTATACACTTTTACACATTATTATTTGCATTACACTTTACATTTTATATTTTAATTCTCAGTTTTGAGTTTTGTTATTCTATTTCATTAAAATATATCTAGTTGCTATCAAACAATAAAATTATTATTAACAATAATGGACGAGTCGTTTCTCGTTCGATTTCGATTATTAAACTTTATAACATTTTAAACACTAACTAATACTCGACACACATAAGTCAACAATTAAAGTCATTAGTCGTAAGTATGTATGAGTGACTCCATTGACAAAAACAATAGTCGAATAATAATAATTCTTATTCTTAGTATTGTATCTATCATACTTTTTCTTCTTCGTATTATTTTTATTTTTATTATTATTATTACTGTTATTATTATTATTATTATTATTATTATTATTATTATTATTATTATTATTATTATTATTATTATTATAGCATGTGGTGTTTAATGTAAGCGGAATAGCAATTATTTAACGTCATGCAATGGCAATGGCCGTGAATTTGCGCGAAATTACGAAGAATATTATTTTTGTCTTCATTTTAAATGATATTTATAAGTGTGTGTGTGTGCGTGTATGTGTTGGTGTGTGTGTGTGTGTGGTGTGTGTGTGCGTGGTTAGTATTTAGACAAGTTTTCATCAGAGGCACAGGTAGATAGGTATATATTTGCTTGCATTTTTTTTTATCTTGTTGCTTTCTTAGTTGTATGTGTTGTTGCGTGTGTTGGCTTATGCTCGCTTGTCTATTTGCTTGTTTGTTTATTTGTCTGTTTGTGTGTGTGTGTGTGTGTGTGCGTGCGTCTGCAAATATAAGCAAACAACAATAAAGGAAGGAATAGATATAATTTCAATGTCATGCAATATTTGCCGAATGAGCAATCCTTTAAAACGACTAATAAATATCCAGAACAGTCATGGATATAAATTATTTCAAACTGGAAGGAAAAAAAGGCCAAATACAAAAAGAAATGAATAAATGCAAAAAATATAATTGGAAAGCAGACAAACGAAAATGGACTTTATGAAAAAATGTTATCACGGATGCGGGCTCGCAGGATAAAAATGTTACAAAAAACCAAGAGAATAAGTGAGAAAATGTTGTATGGAAAAATGAAGTTGTTTCATATTAGTAGGAAGAAACTAAGTGAACAGCATAGTAAGAAAAATCACGGACTGACACTGGAAGACATTCATTCCCCCAAACTGCCTGCTAACATGTGCTCTGCTTCATGCTTTACTACCCAATTCATGATCGAAATGGGGACTGACTCTCAATGAGTGTATGACGGATTTTAAAATGAGTGAAAGAGTGAGTGAGTGAGTGAGTGAGTGAGTGAGTGAGTGAGTGAGTGAGTGAGTGAGTGAGTGAGTGAGTGAGTGAGTGAGTGAGTGAGTGAGTGAGTGAGTGAGTGAGTGAGTGAGTGAGTGAGTGAGTGAGTGAGTGAGTGAGTGAGTGAGTGAGTGAGTGAGTGAGTGAGTGAGTGAGTGAGTGAGTGAGTGAGTGAGTGAGTGAGTGAGTGAGTGAGTGAGTGAGTGAGTGAGTGAGTGAGTGAGTGAGTGAGTGAGTGAGTGAGTGACAATGCATTTGGTGACAGTCAAGTGGTGGAGCAAGGTCGAAAAACGAGAAAGTGATTAATAATGATGATGGAATAAAATATGAAAATAATTACCAAAACTTTTATTAGTCTGAAAATTAATGACTCCAACCATTAATCAATTTTTTATCTTTTCATTATTTTTCAAATTATGATTGGAAGAAATATTATTTAAAGAAATTATATTCTTTCTGCTCGAAGTGAACTCGTTTGATGTTACCTACATTTTTATTGCGGTGTGGCACCTTTCATCATGTAATTCGAAACAGACACCCTAAATCTTTTTTCTTCTTTTTATTACAATTTCATGACCTGATTAATTAACCTTCCTATTGATTTGACATTTCAGAAATTAAAATGTTTCAAGTGGATTTTTAATGTACGAAATGAAATCGCAGCTTCATTGCAATCTTTGGTTTATTTATAACGATAATAATCCTTGGTTTATTTATAACGATAATAATTATTATAATACTATTATTATTTTTATATTATAATTTTTATTATTTATAACAACTATATAAAAATAATATCAGAGATAAATAAAAAAGAGTGTGTCCGTTCCTCCATGCTGTTGATCACCTCCTTCAAACTTGAAGTCTCACAAATTGATTTTTAATAAATGATGTTACCCCGCCCGAGTTATTTACGACCCATTTTTTTATGACAAGTTTATTTTCCAGATATATTTTTATCTTTTTCATTATCATGTCATATTTATTTTATTCATTTTATTTGCGTGTTTGGATGTGTGTGTGTGTGTGTGTGTGCGTGTGGTGTGTGTATGCGTGAATGTGTGTTTAAACTTTAGCATATTAATTTGCGTTTAAACCTTTCTGAATCTAATAATAAACGCTGTAGAACACTTTATGAAACATTCATTCGAGGACATCAAATTAGAAATAAATATTTTTATTTTCATATCCTCTCAGAATGGCTGGAGGAGATTATTATAAAGTAATCTCATAGTATTAAATGATATAAGATGGCTCCATCTGTAGCGAAATGTTCAACATCCAAACGAGGATTCCACAGTGATCCGTGCCTCAACTTGTCCAATCCATCTTGCTGACGTTGATTGATTAGGTTGGGAAGATTCACTGAATGCATGCATGCGTGCATTTGTGAATTATTTATTTTTCTTGCATGCATTCATGTGTTGCGTGCATGTTGATGTCATGAATGTATGTATGTATGTATGTATACACAGTGCTTGGTGAAGTTACTAAGATGTTACCGGTACATAGCGGTGTTTTTGCATAATTCCAATGATTAGGAGACAGCCTGTGGACTTGGAAAACAAGAAAAACTTTTCATACGCATTGTCACTTTTTAACCATAAATTTTTTTTTGAATTTGCTTTGTTGGTTTATTATATAGGGACAGATTCTCTTAATGGTTAAATTTAAGCATAAATTATTATTATCGCACTCCCAGCCAAGCAACTTTTAACTGCCTTTTACACGTACCTCTCTTACAAGCATACATCTATATGTATAGAAAATATGAAATCAATCATTATAAATAATGCCCGTCTTCAAAATAAATCAACTAATCAATCATTGAATGAAGCGACGAATGAATGCGATATATCTCTGTATCTCCTGACCAACATCTCATATTTCATCTCAGATAGGATCGCTTGAAAATTCAATCTGATAAAAAATTCGGATGGATCATTTAATAATAAGTAAAAATTTTATTTCAAATAGCATGAAATGTTTAACGCAAAGTTTAGAGGTGTGCAACAATCTCTTTTTTTCTCAGTTTATTTCCCTGTCTAACTCAAACATTTCATAGAAAACGTAAAAAAACAAATCTAAGTTTGAATAAATCACTCCAACGTGACGACCTCCAAATCGGCGTACAAATACTCGTCACTGTGTGACGTCACTTCCGATCCGTTCGTGGCTTCCGCTTCGAAAATGATGTGGCTGTCGTAGCAGATGAGTTTGGTTTGTGGGGGGTCAACGATCCCAGTGACGGCTATCTTGTCCACACGATCAGATTTCTGAATATGGGTCCTGGACACGCGGACTTGGTGCGTGTAGTATTTTACCTGATTTTCAAGATGGTGGTTGTGGTGGTTGGGGCGACATTCATAGGCCACGCGACTGTGGATCAGGTAGCGACCGGTGGCTGTTATTGATATTCGGGCAATTTCTGTGGTGATGATGATGCTGTTGTTGATGATGATGATGATGATGACGATGATAATGGCCACGTGGTTGTGATTATGAATGTGCTATATGTAATGATGGTAATAATAATAATAGTAGTAGTAATAATGTGAACATATTTTATTTATTCAATCGACAAAATACAATTCCAAAAATAGAAAATAAGAAATGAAGTTTAATAAAAATTGAGTAAGCATATAATAATAATAATAATAATAATAATAATAATAATAATAATAATAATGATGATGATGATGATGATAATAAAAACAATGATAATAACAATAATAATGACTTTGAGAATGATTAAAATAGAGATGATGATGGGGTTGTTTGAAATGACGTAACGAGATAATGGTGGAGTTATTTTTTTGGTTAGAGAACGGTGACGCTGACACGAGCGAGAGTGACGTCATATTAACAATGGAGGTTCGTTATTGCAGAACAAAAAAATGTCACCCCGCCCACCAACCAACCGTCGCCTGTTATGTTTCTTTTATATTCGTCCATCTGGAAAAGTGAAAGAAATCAATATTGAAATTTATAAAGAGAAAGATCCGAGATCCATACAGATCTCAACTTTTTCAGATAAATTAAACATTTATTATTAAATTTTCCGTTAGGATAATATAACAACAACAAATTATATTGAATTATTATTATTATTATTATTATATTAACATTATTATAAATAATTATAATTACTTTAATAATATCCACATTCACCAAACAAAGAGTATTTGGCACATTGTGAAGAATGATGTAAAAAATTAGTGACAACGGCATATTCATAGGTGTGAGGAGGATGTCATTGTTTGGCGGTCATAGAGTTACAGAAATTAAAAAAACTCGAGGGAGGTTACCTACCTACCTACCTACCTGCCCACACTGATATTATCTGTCGCTACCTACCCAATTGTATTGTTCGCCATCTGCGTTTATCAAAATTAATAAAACCATTTTATTAAAAAACTTTTCTTTGTATGACTGCATACAATAGTGATACAAAATGTGTAAGCGTGAATGTGTGTACGTGTCTATGTACATTCAGGCAAGTAACGTAGAATAAAAAATGTATCAGAGTTCGTTTATAACTCTCACCTACATACATTGTTTCTTTAAATAGTTTTATTTTCTAATTTCTTCCCCCTGGTGGTTTCACGTTTCAGCACGTGTGACTTGTGTAACTTATTCGCGTGTCAATGCTGCCCTACATCTGCACTTGTGCGTGCATGTATGGAACCCGCACATAACTCGCTACCACACAACGTAGAAATGCTACGTTGTTAAGAAGGATAATCTCCATCAACTGGTCCCATCTCAAGAAGAACTGGCTCTGAAGAAACGCCTGCGAGTTGTTTTGCTTGCTTATGTGTACAATACAAATACAAAGATGAACGTACACTAAATGTACGAGTTACTGTGTACACCACCACATATGTAAACATATATATTTGTATACCATGTGGTTGGTGTGTACAACAAATGTGCAGCATGGCTCGATGACTATAGGTGTGCCCGCTGCATGTACGTACATATATGTAAATATATGTCAACAACACCAGCAACCTGAAACTTGGCGTCGGGCAGACCTCTCCACATGGTGAAGTTCCGCTTGATGATGAATCCTCCAAAAATGACGATGATGGTGACGTTGAAGAAAATCAACAACCAGAATGTGATTGATTGACAGGTGCTCAGTCCCTCCTTCTTTGAGGTCAGTACCTCCCTCAGTTTCGTCAGACGATCCACCGACGCCATCGGCTCCATGTTCATCGACTCCATTCGCTGTTAATTTTTAATTTATTCTTCCTGAAATAAAATTTTTGAAGCGTGAATAATTGTTGTTTTTGAAAGACAAAATAACTGTTTTGTTCTTTAAATAAGACTTGGTAAATAAGACTACAACTAGTTACTAACTCGAATGATTTTTACAAAATTTTGAAACAATGTTATATAGCTAATAAATCATTGCCAATACAAAACGGAATCAATAAAACTCAAATTAAATTGTTGCAAAGGCATCTATTGTAAATAAATATTAATAAAAAAAACAATGACAAACAAAAAGATTAAAACCCAATTATTATTATTTGTTATACCGCAAGAACTTAATTAGCATTTTATCTTAGTCTTAGGTGATGACAGCTTTTCAGTTGCCCTGCTATTAAGTAGGATGCAAGGCAGGTTCGTAATTAGTTGATGATAATTTTGGCGAAGATACATAAAGCTGTTGCTATTTGTCAATTTTTATAACTTTAAATGGATTAAAATAATATTTTATTGTTCAACTTACGTGTATGTATATTCTAAGCATATGGTTTGTATTAACAGTCTTTCAAGCGAATCAGAACCTTATTTTTGATGTGATATCACATTTCGCATATTCTATTCATCATAAAAATAGAGTCAGTTACACAATCATTCAATCAATCAATCAATTAGCTTATAAAGCGCTAATTCCGCGATGTTCAACAGCGCTCCTCAATGAATTTTGAAAACAGATGGGTATTGAGATCCGCTCTGAACTTCGCAAGTGATGGAGAAGTAGTCAGAGAAGTAGGTAGAGAGTTCCAGAGAAAAGGACCAGAAAAAGCAAAAGCAGATTTGGCAAAAGAGTGTTTAACACGAGTTAAGAAAAAGCGAGAAGAAGACGATCGTAAACCGGGGCGTTTAGGTTCAATTAATATATCTGATAAATACTTAGGAAATAATTTAGATTGAGACTTATACATGAACGTGCAATTTTTAGAAATTATTCTATATTTTATAGGTAGCCAGTGCAAGAGAACAAGATATGGAGATATATGAGAAAAGAAAGGGGCACGAGCAACTAGACGAGCAGCAGAGTTAAAAGCTTTACTTAAAGGATAGAGTATAGAGTCAGGAAGACCATAGTAGAACGATTTACAATAATCAATCATAGATAAGACTAACGAAGTAACAAGAAGGAGAAGAGTAGGATCATCAAGAAAAGGCAAAAGTTTTTTTATTCTACGTAGATGAAAGTAAGAGCTTCTAGCAACACTATTAATCTGAGAAGAGAGAGACATAGTAGAATCAAAGATAAAACCTAGACTACGAAACTTATGAGAAACATCAAGAGTTTTAAAATCAGGTAAGATAATAGGAGGAATAGTAATAGATAGAGTGTTTAGATTTATTAAAACAAATTAATTCAATTAATTCATTATATAGGTTCTAACATTGAAATGATAGATTTTGCATATTCTTCATAAAAATGGAGTTAGTTAGACAATTATTATATAGATTTTAACATTAAAATGATAGATTTTGTTTCAAAATTTGGAATGTTTATATTTCATTTATGCTATAGCTTCTTTCTAGAATCAATTCTCTAAATTTAAATGTTGTCACATCACTGAAAACTATTCACCTTTATTTAAAAAACTAAAAGTGAATGTGCTGGGTCCGTCATATATAAATCCTTCTCAAGGTTTTTATTTTAATTCCTCTTTAAATTAGTGATTAGTAATTAGTGCGATCGTTTATAATTAAAATTTAATTATTCAAGAAATTTTTTGATTTGTAAAGTTTATAAATTTTAGTGTAGTATAATTTCCATTTTTAAATAATAATTGTTCTGTCTAATACTAATCTCTAACTAAAGTAAAGTCTAATAATCTAATGATTAGACTCTAATCTAACTACTAAATTACTAAAAAGTAAAACTAAACTATTGTTTTAAGATTCACTAATAATAAATAAGATTAGATTTAGATTAGCATATTAAGTTATTAGTAGATTAACATTAACTATAGATAAAATTATTTATTGTTATATTATATTATTTATTAATGATATTATTAATACAATTAATAAAAGTTAAATAATTATTTTTAATTATAGATTATATACAGTTGAAATTTTCTTCTTCCTACCTGACTTACAGCAGTCACTGGCACATCCTAGTAGATAGAATATTCTTGATTATACAACATAAAGACAACTTTACACTAAAATTTGTCATATTATATTAATAATTTCAAATATAAATCAATATCTTCATTCTCATGGATTTAAAATGTGGTTAGTTGGTTTTACTTTAAGTTAAAGTAAAACCATATATATATAAAAGTCTTTAAAGTTATAGTCTTTAACTTATTTATTAATTTTATTCATATCTTATTTTCTGTAAGTACATCACATCACATTATATAGTACTATAATGATTATACATTTTGGTGTAATTGTTAAAGTGCCATACCCTTCTGCTCCAGCTGTTGTAGTGACCAGGTTCAAAGGCAAAAAGAACCCATCTATCATATGAAATGTGTGGACTCATATAGTTATCATAGATTCACATTTGCACAATCCAAATATGTTGTTGATACCCCTTAAGAATTAAGAGAAAAATAATAATATGATAATGGAATTTTATTCTCATCATAAAACACTTATTAAAAAAAAGAATTAATTGCCAATGACAATTAAAATTTAATAGAATTTATTATATAATTTTAAAAAATATTATGAAATAATATTAATATTTAGATAAGAATGATCCGAAAGGTAACAACAACAACGAAGATAAGGTAAATAAATGGTTGGCTGACCACTCTTGTCCTAATGGGGGGGGTGGTGGAGATGGTGAGGGGGCTGGCAGGAAAGAAAGGTGGCGACCTTCAACTTGGGATTATTTATTTAATTATTCATTCATTTATTTGTTTATTGTTATTTATGCATTAATCATTCATTTATTCTAATCCATTCATTCATTCATTCAATAATTCATTCATTCATTCTACATTTCTGTACAGATTAATTAATAAATTTGTTTCTAAATTTTTATATTTAACTTTTTAATTTCTTTCAACTAACTGACCACAGAACAAAACAACGACAAAATGACCAACTAGTCGATACCCTGGTTGAACATTCAAAAACACATCAAGACACTGGTCTGTATTTTAATTTTTATTATTATTATTAGTAGTAGTTACTTAGCAGTGGTTGTAGTAGTGGTGGTAGTTGTTGTAGTTGTAGTAGTAGTTGTTGTAGTAACAGTAGTAATAGTACTAGTAATAGTAATATTAGTAGTAGTAGCAGTAGTAGTAGTAGTAGTAGTTGTTGTTGTTGTAAAACTGTAATGATTTTCTTCTATTGTTGATTAAATTGTTTAATTATTTCACTAATGCCGTATGAAACTTTTTCTGTCTTTGATGGGAATTGAACCAAGGATCTCTGACACAACTGAATATCTTACATTGAAATGTTTTCTCTATTACTACTTGTTTACCTAGAGTTTACTATCTAGAATTAACTATTTAGCTGCAAATTTAGTATTTGCTTTGAGGTTTTATTGAGTGGCGTTGCTATGATATTGAAGGAATGAGTCATTGTGTATATTTTAGGAGAGTAATTTTTAACAAAATTATTTTATAACTTTCACAGAGGACTGTCCTTTGAGGTTAATATCTTTCCAATTTTTTTCACTTTTTCATTTAATTTCGAGAAATATTCCAAAATAAATGATGATATTGTTGTTTATGTTTATGGCATAATTTATGATAATCAGTCATTAAATTAGCCAATTATACACTGTCACTAATCTCATGTAATTGATATCATTATGTGTTCAGCTGGGTTTGTTTGGGCTTGCAGCAAATATGTGTGCGTGTGTTTGTGTGTGTGTATGTGTGCGCGCGCGCGCGCGTGTGTGTTTTAATAAAATTATGAGGACATAATTGAAACATTATATCTTTTTGTGTTGTTGTTGCTGATGATATCTAACTATAACGCAGACATCATCATAAATGCCAGGCTTTCATTCAACAATTTGTTTAAACATTCAAAGATTCCTATCAAATCTTAGATAAATCATTGGGTGCCTGTGTCCTACTGACTAATAAAAATATTGGTGTGT